AGCTATAAGTTCTTCCAGTTGGTTTTTTGAAAATTGCATCTTGATCATGGGAATGATTTTACTAACCTTATTTGAACTGATCTTACTAAGGGTATCATCGTCTCTCTACAGAGCTGCGGTAAATGAAATTATGTCATTTATAATAGTCAATGTTCAGTAATGGACATTGTACGAAAAGAAGAAGATCTGAACTTCAATTTTAAGAAGAACTAGCCAGTGTTGGCTATTTGGGAGGTCCTTCAGAATGCATCTTGTTGGTTGATGCATAGCATTAGAATGAACAGGCTGATTTCTGTCACTTATAAGGTTTAAGTAGTATTTCTTCTTTCAGGCTGTAGATTTGAAAGGTACCTTCAAAAAGGTGTTAAAAAAATCGACAGTAAAGAAGAAAAAAGCCACTATTAAAAAATGAATTATGTTCATGTACATAAAAATGAATGAATTATTTCGAAGAGTATTGCAGTATTGTTTTTATTAGAATATAAAAAAAAACAATCAAAACTTATCCTACCAATTTTGGAAAATTATGTCATGGAAAGATATTTTTAGTTAATTATTCACATTGGGAAATGATTATATAAACTTAACTGAAGAATATAAAAAGATAGGTGTTTGATTTGATTGGGTAAACACTTGATTTTTTACATTTAAATTAACATATCTCAAGCATTACAGTATCTGTAAAATTATTGTAAAATTCGACAATTATAAGAGTATTTAAATTTTGTGCAACAAATGTATACACGTACCTTGGACTACACATTGCTTAAAGAACTGAAAATGTTTTAACATCATATTAAGGTGTATATCATTGGATATTTGTATAAAATTAAAAAATAAAACTTAAAAGTAAAAAAAATGCTGTACTTTTTCTATTGGGTGGTGGTTTTTTGTATTATTAGTTTTTCCTAAATATATACACTTAGACTTTATATACAGAGTGAACGAAATAAATTCGGAACATAGGAATCTAATGTATTTCGGCTCAATTCTGCTGTAGGTGGTTGGCCAACAAAAGATTGTCAAATAATTATATTATAAAAATCCCATACTTCAGCGGGCTGCTGGATTCTGAACTCATAAAAATTGAAAGCTACACATAAATCTACGATTTTATTATGCTGTCAAACCAGTTATAGTCCAGGAAATGAAGCATTTCACCTCGCAATTTTTTCGTGCTGCGTGGATTAACTTGAAATTTAACAGAAGGTAGGTAATAGCCTAAGGATCAAAATCTATATCGAACTAAAGTGCGCCAAAGCCATGGGGTGGTTGCCACCCCATCTCCGGGGTGAAAATTTTTTTTACGTTTTAACTACAGGTTTCGATTATAAAAGTGAATTCTAAACAAAAAATGTGCTATACATTTTTTTTATAAAATGATATTTTTCAAGTTATTCGCGATTGAAAGTAACAACTTTTAGACGAAAAAATCCACGTTTTTAATCGATTTTTCGCGAATAACTCGAAAATGGTGCATTTTATCAAAAAAATTGTAGAGAACAAATTTGTAGCTTTTAAAAAGACAAATACAATTCATTTTTTAAAAGGTTTTTGCAATATAATAGTAACCGAAATACGGCCTATCAATGTTCAGCGGTTTTCTTAAAATGCCAAAATTTGAAAGATTCAAACTCAAATATCGGGAAAATGATGCATTTTTGGAAGAAAACTCACAAAACCTTTTTTAAAGAGCATAAATAGACCTATCATAAAAAAAGACTCTAGCTCAAAAATTGAGTGAGTTATGATGAAAATAAGGTCAATACCTCATTTTTTACGAAAAAATCGATGAATACAACCCCCTAACCACGCCCATAATTAAAATCGATCTTCACCCTTCTGCAATTTCCTTTGTACATGT